CTCACCTGTCCCTCCCCTGTCTCACCTGTCCCTCACCTGTCCCTCCCCTGTCTCACCTGTCTCACCTGTCCCTCCCCTGTCTCACCTGTCTCACCTGTCTCACCTGTCCCTCACCTGTCTCCCCTGTCTCACCTGTCTCACCTGTCTCACCTGTGTCAGATCCTGATCCTGGATGTGATCGAGGTGGTTCCGGAGCCGGGGCAGCCGCTCACCAAGAACAAGTTCAAGGTGCTCTACGAGAAGGAGCAGAAGGGACCGGTGACAGCGCTGTGCCATTGCCATGGTTACCTGGTGTCCGCCATCGGCCAGAAGGTACACCTGGACACACCTGGGCACACCTGAGATACACCTGGGCACACCTGGGGGGTCACTGTCACACCTGGGTACACCTGGGCACACCTGGGGACAGCTGGGTACACACCGGTGACAGCGCTGTGCCATTGCCATGGTTACCTGGTGTCCGCCATCGGCCAGAAGGTACACCTGGACACACCTGGACACACCTGGGGACACCTGAGATACATCTGGGCACACCTGGGGGGTCACTGTCACACCTGGGTACAGCTGGGTACACACCGGTGACAGCGCTGTGCCATTGCCATGGTTACCTGGTGTCCGCCATCGGCCAGAAGGTACACCTGGACACACCTGGGCACACCTGGGGACACCTGAGATACACCTGGGGACACCTGGGTACAGCTGGGGGGGTCACTGCCACACCTGGGGACACCAGGGAAGTGTCCAAGGTCACCATGAGGTGCAGGATGTCCATGGTGACCTGGGGGTGTTCTCCAGATCTTCCTGTGGAGCCTGAAGGACAAAAAGCTGACGGGGATGGCTCCTCAGCCATGGCTGGGTTGGTGACCTCAGGTGGCACCACAGGAGGTGTCAGAGGTCACCGTGGGGTGCAGGGATCTCTGTGGTGACCTCGGGGTGTTCTCCAGATCTTCCTGTGGAGCCTGAAGGACAACGAGCTGAGCTGGGTGATCTCTCAGCCATGGTTGGGTTGGTGACCTCAGGTGGCACCACAGGAGGTGTCAGAGGTCACCATGAGGTGCAGGATGTCCATGGTGACCTGGGGGTGTTCTCCAGATCTTCCTGTGGAGCCTGAAGGACAAAAAGCTGACGGGGATGGCTCCTCAGCCATGGCTGGGTTGGTGACCTCAGGTGGCACCACAGGAGGTGTCAGAGGTCACCGTGGGGTGCAGGGATCTCTGTGGTGACCTGGGGGTGTTCTCCAGATCTTCCTGTGGAGCCTGAAGGACAACGAGCTGAGCTGGGTGATCTCTCAGCCATGGTTGGGGTTGGTGACCTCAGGTGGCACCACAGGAGGTGTCAGAGGTCACCATGAGGTGCAGGATGTCCATGGTGACCTGGGGGTGTTCTCCAGATCTTCCTGTGGAGCCTGAAGGACAACGAGCTGACGGGGATGGCTCCTCAGCCATGGTTGGGGTTGGTGACCTCAGGTGGCACCACAGGAGGTGTCCATGGTCACCATGAGGTGCAGGATGTCCATGGTGACCTCAGAATGTCCCCCAGATCTTCCTGTGGAGCCTGAAGGACCAGAGCTGACAGGGATGGCTCCTCAGCCATGGTTGGGTTGGTGACCTCAGGTGGCACCACAGGAGGTGTCAGAGGTCACCGTGAGGTGCAGGATGTCCATGGTGACCTCAGAATGTCCCCCAGATCTTCCTGTGGAGCCTGAAGGACAAAAAGCTGACGGGGATGGCTCCTCAGCCATGGCTGGGTTGGTGACCTCAGGTGGCACCACAGGAGGTGTCAGAGGTCACCGTGGGGTGCAGGGATCTCTGTGGTGACCTGGGGGTGTTCTCCAGATCTTCCTGTGGAGCCTGAAGGACCAGAGCTGATGGGGATGGCTCCTCAGCCATGGCTGGGTTGGTGACCTCAGGTGCCACCACAGGAGGTGTCAGAGGTCACCGTGGGGTGCAGGATGTCCATGGTGACCTGGGGGTGTTCTCCAGATCTTCCTGTGGAGCCTGAAGGACAACGAGCTGACGGGGATGGCGTTCATCGACACGCAGCTCTACATCCACCAGATGATCAGCGTCAAGAGCTTCATCCTGGCCGCCGACCTGATGAAGAGCATCTCGCTGCTGCGCTACCAGGAGGAGAGCAAGACGCTGTCCCTCGTCAGCCGGGTGAGCCGCGGGGACAGCGGGGACGGGCGTGGTGACGGTGGCAATCACGGTGACAACGGTGACGGTGACACGGTGACTGGCACGACGACAGTGATAATGACAGTGGCACGGTGACAATGACAATGGTGGTGGTGGTGACGACAGTGACGGTGACAATGACACAGTGACGATGGTGATGGTGACAGTGGCACGGTGACAATGACAATGGTGGTGGTGGTGACGATGACAGTGATGGTGACAATGACACAGTGACGATGGTGATGGTGACAGTGGCACGGTGACAATGACAACGGTGGTGGTGGTGACGATGACAGTGATGGTGACAATGACACAGTGACGATGGTGATGGTGACAGTGGCACGGTGACAATGACAATGGTGGTGGTGGTGACGACAGTGACGGTGACAACGATACAGTGACGATGGTGATGGTGACAGTGGCACGGTGACAATGACTATGGTGGTGGTGGTGACGATGACAGTGACAGTGACGGTGACAATGACACAGTGACGATGGTGATGGTGACTGACACGGTGACAATGACAGTGGTGGTGGTGGTGACGATGACAGTGACGGTGACAACGATACAGTGACGATGGTGATGGTGACAGTGGCACGCTGACAATGACTATGGTGGTGGTGGTGACGATGACAGTGATGGTGACAACGATACAGTGACAATGATGGTGATGGTGACAGTGGCACGGTGACAATGACAACGGTGGTGGTGGTGACGATGACAGTGACGGTGATAATGACACAGTGACAATGATGGTGATGGTGACTGACACGGTGACAATGACAGTGGTGGTGGTGGTGACGATGACAGTGACGGTGACAACGATACAGTGACGATGGTGATGGTGACAGTGGCACGGTGACAATGACTATGGTGGTGGTGGTGACGATGACAGTGATGGTGACAACGATACAGTGACAATGATGGTGATGGTGACTGACACGGTGACAATGACAATGGTGGTGGTGGTGATGATGACAGTGACGGTGACAATGACACAGTGACAATGATGGCGATAATGACAGTGGCACGGTGACAATGACTGGTGGTGGTGATGATGACAGTGACGGTGACAATGATACAGTGACAATGATGGTGATGGTGACAGTGGCACGGTGACAATGACAGTGGTGGTGGTGGTGACGATGACAATGACAGTGACGGTGACAATGACACAGTGACAATGATGGTGATGGTGACAGTGGCACGGTGACAATGACTGGTGGTGGTGACGATGACAGTGACGGTGACAATGACACAGTGACAATGATGGTGATGGTGACAGTGGCACGGTGACAATGACAGTGGTGGTGGTGGTGACGATGACAATGACAGTGACGGTGACAATGACACAGTGACAATGATGGTGATGGTGACAGTGGCACGGTGACAATGACAATGGTGGTGACGATGACAATGACAGTGACGGTGACAATGACACAGTGACAATGATGGTGATGGTGACTGACACGGTGACAATGACAATGGTGGTGACGATGACAATGACAGTGACGGTGACAATGACACAGTGACAATGATGGTGATGGTGACTGACACGGTGACAATGACAATGGTGGGGGTGACAATGACAGTGACGGTGACAATGACACAGTGACAATGATGGTGATAATGACTGGCATGGTGACAATGACTGGTGGTGGTGATGATGACAGTGACGGTGACAATGATACAGTGACGATGATGATGGTGACAATGACAGTGACAATTATGGTGATGGTGACTGATGATGGTGACAATGACAGTATGACTGACACAATGACAATGATGCAACAATGACAGTGACAACAGCAGTGACATGGTGACAGTGATAATGGTGGTGGTGGTGACGATGACAGTGACGGTGACAATGATGGTGACAACGGTGATGGTGACAGTGACACAGTGACTGGCACAATGACAGTGACAACGATAGTGGCACGGTGACAATGACAATGGTGGTGGTGACGATGATACAGTGACGGTGACAATGATACAGTGACAGTGATGGTGACAATGACACAGTGACACAATGACGGTGACAATGACAATGACAGTGACAATGATGGTGATGGTGACAATGACAGGATGACTGACACAATGACAATGATGTGACAATGACAGTGACAACGACAGTGACATGGTGACAATGACAATGGTGGTGGTGGTGACAATGATGGTGACGGTGACAATGATACAGTGACGGTGGTGATGGTGACAGTGACACAGTGGGTGGCACAATGACAGTGACAATGACAATGACACAGTGACAATGATAGTGACAACGACAGTGACACGGTGACAATGACAATAGTGGTGGTGCTGATGATGACAGTGACGGTGACAATACAGTGATGATGGTGATGGTGACAGTGACACAGTGACACAATGACAATGACACAGTGACAATGATGGTGATGGTGACTGATGATGGTGACAATGACAGGATGACTGACACAGTGACAATGATGTGACAGTGACAGTGACAATGATAGTGACATGGTGACAATGACGGTGGTGGTGACGACAGTGACGGTGACAATGATGGTGGCAACGGTGATGGTGACAGTGACACGGACTGACACAATGACTGACAGTGACAATGACACAGTGAAAATGATGGTGAAAACGGTGACGATGACAATGACACAGTGACTGGCACAATGACAGTGACAACGACAGTGGCACGGTGACAATGACAATGGTGGTGGTGGTGACGATGATGGTGACGGTGACAATGATACAGCGATAGTGATGGTGACAATGACACAGTGACTGACACGACGACAATGACGCAGTGACAATGATGGTGATGGTGACAATGACAGGATGACTGACACAATGACAATGACAACGACAGTGACAATGACAGTGGTGGTGGTGACAGTGACGGTGATGACGGGACAGTGACAGTGGCAGCCACGGTGGCAATGACATGACGGTGATGGTGACAATGACAACGACATGGTGACAGTGACACGATGACGGTGATGGTGACAGTGACACTGACAATGGCGGGGCAGTGACAGTGACAATGACAATGACATGATGATGGTGACAATAACACAGTGGCAGTGGTGGTGATGGTGACAGTGACACGGTGACAATGACAATGGAGGGGACGGTGACAGGGACCATGATAGTGATGGTGACAAAGACATGGTGACAGTGAAAATGACAGTGACACAGTGACACTGGTGGTGACAAGGACACAGTGACAATGGCAGTGATGCCGACAATGCCGGTGACAATGACACAGTGACACAATGGCACGATGACAATGACAAGGTGACAATGACACGGTGACACGATAACAATGATACAGTGACAATGACACGGTGACACGATAACAATGATACAGTGACAATGGCACGGTGACAATGGCATGGTGACACTGGCGGTGACGGTGACACTGACACAATGACAATGACAGGGTGACACGGTGACACCGGCCGTGACACTGACACAATGGCACGGTGACACTGGCGGTGACAATGACATGGTAACACTGCCGGTGACACGGTGACAATGCCACGGTGACGCGGTGACACCGGCGGTGACATGGTGACACTGCCGGTGACACTGACACAATGGCACGGTGACACGGACACAATGAGACGCTGACACTGCCACGGTGAGATGGTGACAATGGCACGGTGACACGGACACAATGAGACGCTGACACTGCCACGGTGAGATGGTGACAATGGCACGGTGACACGGACACAATGAGACGCTGACACTGCCACGGTGAGATGGTGACAATGGCACGGTGACACGGACACAATGAGACGCTGACACTGCCACGGTGAGATGGTGACAATGGCACGGTGACACGGACACAATGAGACGCTGACACTGCCACGGTGAGATGGTGACAATGGCACGGTGACACGGACACAATGAGACGCTGACACTGCCACGGTGAGATGGTGACAATGGCACGGTGACACGGACACAATGAGACGCTGACACTGCCACGGTGAGATGGTGACAATGGCACGGTGACACGGACACAATGAGACGCTGACACTGCCACGGTGAGATGGTGACAATGGCACGGTGACACGGACACAATGAGACGCTGACACTGCCACGGTGAGATGGTGACAATGGCACGGTGACACGGACACAATGAGACGCTGACACTGCCACGGTGAGATGGTGACAATGGCACGGTGACACGGACACAATGAGACGCTGACACTGCCACGGTGAGATGGTGACAATGGCACGGTGACACGGACACAATGAGACGCTGACACTGCCACGGTGAGATGGTGACAATGGCACGGTGACACTGGCGGTGACAATGACATGGTAACACTGCCGGTGACACGATGACAATGCCACGGTGACGCGGTGACACCGGCGGTGACATGGTGACACTGCCGGTGACACTGACACGGTGAGATGGTGACAATGGCACGGTGACACGGACACAATGACACGGTGACACTGCCACGGTGAGATGGTGACACTGACGCGGTGACACGGTGACACGGGCGGTGACGTTCCCGGCAGGACGCGAAGCCGCTGGAGGTTTACAGCGTGGATTTCATGGTGGACGGCAGCCAGCTGGGATTCCTGGGTACGGCAAACACGGCGCCGGCGCCGCGGCCACCGCGCCTGGCATTGCCCAGGGTGGGGTGGGGTGGGGTTGGTGACATTCGGGTGTGGCTTTGGTGACATTTGGGTTGGGTTTGGTGAAGATTGGGTTGGGTTTGGTGACATTTGGGTTGGGTTTGGTGAGGTTGGGTTGGGTTTGGTGACATTTGGGTTGGGTTTGGTGAAGATTGGGTTGGGTTTGGTGAGGTTGGGTTGGGTTTGGTGAGGTTGGGTTGGATTTGGTAAAGTTGGGTTTGGTTTGGTTGGGTCGAGTTTGGGTTGGGTTGGGTTGGGTTGGGTTTGGTAAAGTTGGGTTTGGTTTGGTAAAGTTGGGTTGGGTTTGGTTGGGTCGAGTTTGGGTTGGGTTGGGTTGGGTTGGGTTTGGTGAGGTTGGGTTCAGTTTGGTTGGGCTGGGTTGGGTTGGGTTTGGTTGAGTTTGGGTTTGGTTGGTTTGGGTTTGGTGAAGTTGGGTTGGGTTGGGTTGGATGAAGTTGAGTTGGGTTTGGGGATGGTCAGGTTGAGTTTGGTGAAGGTTGGGTTGGGTTTGGGTTGGGTTTGGTTGAGTTTGGTGACATTTGGGTTGGGTTTGATTGGATTTGGTCAAGTTTGGGTTGAGGTTGGGTTGGGTTTGGTTTGGTGAAGTTTGGGTTTGGTTTGGGTGACTTCGGTTGAGATTTGGGGTGAATTTGGGTGAATTTGGGTGAATTTGGGTTAAATTTGGCTGATTTTACCAATCCCCGACGTTCCCGTCCCCGCAGTGTCCGACCGCGACCGGAACCTGCTGGTCTACATGTACCTGCCTGAAGGTGAGCGGGGCGGGGCCAGCAGGGAACGGGGGTAACAGGTGACCTCAGGTGAGCTCAGGGGGGAACAGGTGACCCCAGGTGAGCTCAGGTGAGCACAGGGGGGAGCAGGTGACTCCAGGTGAGCTCAGGGGGGAACAGGTGACTCCAGGTGAGCTCAGGGGGGAACAGGTGACCCCAGGTGACCTCAGGTGAGCTCAGGGGGATCCAGGTGAGCTCAGGGGGGAGCAGGTGACCCCAGGTGAGCTCAGGTGAGCACAGTTGAGTGCAGGTGACCTCAGGGTGGCCCAGGTGAGCTCAGGGTGGCCCAGGTGAGCCCAGGTGAGCTCAGGTGAGCACAGTTGAGTGCAGGTGACCTCAGGGTGGTCCAGGTGAGCTCAGGGTGGCCCAGGTGAGCCCAGGTGAGCTCAGATGAGCTCAGGTGGACTCAGGGTGACCCAGGTGAGCTCAGGGTGACCCAGGTGAGTTCAGGGGGATCCAGGTGAGATCAGGTAAGCTCAGGCTGGCCCAGGTGAGCACAGGTGAGCTCAGGGTGGCTCAGGTGAGTTCAGGGGGATCCAGGTGAGCTCAGGTGAGCTCAGGGTGACCCAGGTGAGCTCAGGCTGGCCCAGGTGAGCTCAGGTAAGCTCAGGCTGGCCCAGGTGAGCTCAGGTGAGCTCAGGGTGACCCAGGTGAGTTCAGGGGGATCCAGGTGAGATCAGGTAAGCTCAGGCTGGCCCAGGTGAGCTCAGGTAAGCTCAGGCTGGCCCAGGGGAGCACAGGTGAGCTCAGGGTGGCTCAGGTGAGTTCAGGGTGACCCAGGTGAGCTCAGGCTGGCCCAGGTGAGCTCAGGTGAGCTCAGGGTGACCCAGGTGAGCTCAGACAGACCCAGATGAGCCCAGGTGAGCTC